GAGAAAATATTATCAGATATTTGCTCCAATGTGATTGATTACCAAGATGATAAACTGAAAATGTATTAGGATTCAGAGTTTAGTGAAGAAGGAAGACAATGGTGTAAAATTTGGCAGCTACTATGGACCTGCACTCACACCACCTAGAAAAGAATAACTTAGAAAAGAGAAAAGGAAAAAAGGTCTGAGAATTAAGAATGAGGTGGGCTGGGGATTTAGCTCAGTGGCACCATACCTGCCTCACAAGTGCAAGATCCTAAGTTCAATCCCTGGTACCAAAAAACTAAATGAGCAACAGGAAAACTAGAAATCAATCACAAAGAAACTAGAGAAACTAAAGGCAATGCAGGGAAAAGAAGGAAGCCGGCTGGACCACTAACCCAGGCTCAGGGAAGGGGACCTGTCTCCACAGACACAAAGTAAGCCCAGAGAGGGTCAGCAGCCCCAAGGAGAAACAGTGGACTGGCCTGACAGGCCCCAAGAGAAGCCCCCTCTTATAGTAAACTGCAAAAGCAGCTTTCAGCCTTTCTCTACAAGTAACTCCTTCTCAATGACAGGTTAGAGTTGGGGAAAAAATCCATTGCAGCACCTTCCATATTTGAGAGTGATTTATCAAGAGCCATTTGGTTCATTGTTTAAGACTAACCTATAACCTGCTCCAGGAAGCAGTAGCCACAGAATAACTACACCTCATGGTTTCCATGGTCACCCTATCACAGGGTGTGGTTAAAGGATGGCCGTAAGAGACAGATGCAGACAGGGTGCATGCTAGAAGTTTAAACAGTGGCTAGCTCCAGCCAGAAAGTGGTCTCACTCTGTATGGTGAAAAGCCAGGTCAGTCACGTGTGGTTTTCTGAGGGAGCTGTGTCTGAAAGTGTTGGCATTAAGTCCAGCAGGTTACTACACACACACACACACACACACACACACACACCATTGCTCCACTGTCTATATCCAGCATGGGGCTCAATGGTCTGTCTGTTTGCTTTCCCCATCTGACAACGTGATCAGGGATATTCCTCAGCTTGGACAGTTGACATAGCCTAGGATATATGAACAGAGAGCCCTCTGGAGTAAGGAAGGCACCTCACAACCCCCCAGGCTGTAAGCTAGGCAGAGAATATAGTGACTTGGGGTGCACAGAGGGACTGGTAGAGGCTGGAGTGAATATAGCCATGGGGCAGACATCATTGACTGACCAGGCCCAGAGGAAAGGCAGGACAGAACTGAACATTCACACACAAAAAATGAGTGGGGAAACAAAACAGGACTTTGTAGTGATTTGTTCTCTCTCCTCCATATCTGGTGGACTCCAATACTGCAGACTCTGGAAAGAAACCACTCATTCAAATACAGGGAGGAAAAAAAAAATTTTTAAAAAACCGACCTGCCGGGGATTTAGCTCAGTGGTTTCTCTGCCTGCTGCGCAAGCTCAAGGACCTGAGTTCGATCCCCAGTACCAAAAAGAAAAAGGAAAAAACAAATAGAGGGAGGAATTTTCTTTGGTGCCTGGGATCAAACTCTGGACCTTGCGCTTTCAAGGCAGGCACCGGGACCACTGAGCTAAATCCCTGGCCCTGGGAGGAATCCTTGGCCCTGGGAGGAATTTTTTAGACTTATTTTCTCTTTTTCTTTGTTGGTTTTGGGGTTTTTCCTTCTTTTGAATTTTTCCCTTTTTCCCATTTGTTCTTTTCTGTTACTCTTACCTAATGCTATTACTGGTAATTTTCTTTTACTCCTTGTTATGGCTTGTGTCCAGATCCTCCTCCCCGGCCTCATGTGGTCATAAGTGGAGCTTTTCAGAGGTAGCTGGATCTAGGGTGTGTGATCCTGGGATTAAGGGTGTGTGATACGAAATTAGTCCACAGATTGTTTTGTCAGGGGTTGGACCTAAGAACAGTTGTAAGAATCAATTAAAATGAATCCAAAATCTAGACACAAATCCAAGTAACATAAGAATTTGGTAAAATGATAAGTTTGGAGAATTTCAAGTCCATGGGAGAAACGTATCTTTCAATAAATTAAAAGTTAGAAATAATTTAGCCAAACATTTAGAAAAATGGAGAGTTAGAGCCCTACCTCAAATAATATGGCAAAATAAATTTTTGATTCAGAAATAAATGTAACAAAAAAATCTAAAACCATGAAAAAGAATGAAGAAAATTTAGAATTGAGAAGTACACTCTAGCCAGGTGTGGTTGTGTGCACCTATAGTCTCAGCTACTCAGGAAGCTGAGGCAGGAGGATCATTTGATCCCAGTTTGAGGTCAGCCTGACCAACACAGCAAGATTCCATCTCACAATCTCACAAAGAAAAAATGAAAAAAGGAAGGAAGGAAGGAAGGAAGGAAGTATGAAGAAATACTTTCACTTTTTGGAAAGATAAACTCAGTTATTCCTCAGGGATTCTCATTCTGTGCATTATCTTTTTTTTAACAATGGTCATATGTTTAAAAGATACTAAAGACATTTGGGGAAAGTATATCAATGATATACTTTATAATACAATTATAATATAATATAATGGTCTAGAGGTGAAGGATGTATATCTAAACTTCAAAAACTCAAAGGAAAAAGTAAAATATAAAGGAAAAACCTTATATGTTTAATTGATTAAAAAAACAAATTTTCATGCATCAAAAATGTATAATTCAAAGTAAAAGATGAAGGGAAAAATATTTTTGACAGCAAATGACCAAAACGATTAATGGTTAAAACTTTATACAAGTCACTAATAATAAGATGAACATTCTTCTTTCTTTGAAGTAGATTTTTAAAGCCTAATCAAACAATTCACTAAAAAAAAGGCAAAAGTTCAAAATCCACATTAAGGAAAAAAAAACTCACTCCTACACAAAATCGTAGGAGATGCATAAAATTACAAGATACCTTTTTTCCTACCAAATTGGCAACAATGCTCAAATGATATTTTTTTAAATAGTCAATGATATTTAAAAGATATTAAATAAAACCTAATGCTCAGTCTTGGTATCAGTAGTGAGCATTTTCACTGACAGCTGATGGGCGTGAGTGCTAATTCACTCTTCTGAAGGTGAAAAATTAGGTAATAAATATCAGAAATCATGCAACACATCAAGTGGCCTCAGGACCACATAGCACCCTCCTGGGAAGCTTGATCCTCACCTTATGGGACATTTCCATGGAAGTAAGGGCCCCCACTGAAGCTCCAGTTAGGACCTCAAATCCAGGCGCATAAATGCATCAACATTATAAACTATATCTACATAAACTTCGAGTATCCAGCTGTTGCTCTATCTTTCCCATAGGTATTTGGAATCTTTTGAATGATCCAATGAATTTTGGTTTTTATTTGTTTATAGTGTTTCATAACAAATGGACAAAACCTCAACAGTAACATGCCAGAGTACAGACTAGAATAGTCCAGTCTTGAAAATCATTTATATCCTGCAAGAGACACTCGCAACACAAATAGGAAATGTAATTGGAACTATTCTGCTAATTCTTCCTGGACTAAGGAAGAGAACCCTTGAATGTATTTAAGGTGACTTAAAGATGTGTAAGGAACAGTACCAACTTCTAACCGTGCTAGTTTTTATCACTCCAGCATCCTTGTTGCTTATACTAAAAACTAAATTTCATGCTACCTATTCCTGCAGATAGCCACTGTGGTGGATTAACTAACAATCATCTTGAAATGCGCAACTGAACTGAATCAGCCTGGTTCTGGGCATGGAAGACTCACCTGAGGATTGTTGCCAACAGCATAAAAAGAGAACTGGAAGGGAAGATTGTGGGCTGTTGATTTTCTTAGAGAAGCTTGCCGCAGCTGGTTTTCCTGATGCAAACTTGGTTGTTCTCCTGTCAAAGGAGCTCAAATCCTGCCTTTCCTTGGGAATGACTGCCGTTCTCTTCAAGAGAGATCTGGTTTCTGTCTTGAGTGTCACTTCCTGACTCCAGTGCAGATCCCTCAGCCTAGAGACACAGATCCTCTACCCCACCAGCCCAGGTTTCTGGCTTCCACCACTGGCCTTTGGGCCTTCCCGGTGCAGATCCTCGATAGGGACTTGCATAAGACATTGCCGTGGGCTCTAGGCCTCTGTCTGGATTCGTGGAGGACATTGCCTTGGGCTCTAGGCTTTTAGCTGGACTTGTGCAGGACATTGCTGTGGGATCCAGACCCTCGGCTGGATTCTTTGGGTCTCTAGTCCATGAGCAGATCTCCTCTGTTTGACTTTTTTGGGTGAATATTATAAAATAATCCTATAAATTATGTGTCCCATATTAAATCTATTCACTTGCAAACCCTGACTACAGCAGCCAGTGTCTACATTTTGTATCATTTCATCAGATAAGTAATATTCTTTATAATTGATAGACGGCTTTAATTCCTAAGAAACGATGGCAGGCGAAAGCCTATAAAGAATTTTATTTTTCTGCCAACAAATGTATTTTCAACAATGCTAATCATTATCATGCAACATAAAAGCACAGAACAGAACCTAGACCATGATGTAATAAACAAGATATGTGGAACCCAACATAAAGCAATATTGATTTTAAGATAGCAGAGAATACATTGATCAGGAATCTCCTTTGCAAGTGACAGTAACCCAAAATGGCTTAAGAGAAGAAAAGGAGTTATTGACTCATGAAACTAAAGAGTAAATCCAAGAGAATTTATCTTTAGATACAGCTAGATCCAGAAATTCATACTCTCTCCCTCTCGCTCTCTCTCTGTCTCATATTCACTTCATTCTAAAGCTCTTTCTTCCAAGAACCTCTGTTACCAAAAAGAAGGAAAGGAATGTTGACCAGACAGAAATAGCAGCAGTCTGAACATATGGGAAGATGCTTCCCTCAACATGGGGGGGGGGGGGGTAATGTTCAAGGCACGGTATCAAAATTCATTGGTATAGGACATAGAATATAAATCAAAAGTGATTAACAGAAGCTTTTTGGAAGTCATGTCATCATTCACATTAGACAATGAGAAAACAGAAGACTGCATCAGCACTCACCGTCTTCCTGTTCAAGGATCTTGCATCATTCTGTGCTCAGTTCCCTCTGCTGTGACAATCAGTGAAAATTGTGGAAAGAGAAGGAGCCTTTTCCAGCCTCCTCTGTGCTTTGGGAGCTGACCCTTGAAGCCTTCATCAACTTTCTCAGCCTCTGGCTTCCATTTGCTTTCAGCTGTTGGAGCTCTGGCCAAGGCTGAAGTGCAGGGGGAACATAAAGTTAAGAGTATTCATTCCCTGGCTGCCTCCATTGGAAACCTCAGTGGCTATCAGGGAATTTCCTCCCACCTTTAGAGCTACTCCAGCACCTTAACTTTCAGCTCCAGAGGTGGCAATGGCTTCCTGATGTTTCCTTCCTGGGGACATTTCTCCCTCTCTCTTTTTTTTTTTTTTTTTTTTTGGTACCGGGGATCAAACTCCTTGTGTTTGCGAGGCAGGAGGTGGAACCACTGAGCTAAATGCCCAGCCCACATTTCTCCCTCTCTTATTAGTTTTCTTTAACCCTGATCACACTTTGCAAATAGTCTATTTATGAAACTCTAGTTACCCCTACTTGAACTTACTATTTCCTCAGGGCAAAAGGAATTATATAATTGATTGAAGGGCCAATTTTGTAAAGGGAAGAATTCAGCAAGTGTCTGGTTAAATATTGTTATACTAGGAGTAGAGCCTTTCAATACACTGATATGGATAGGCCATCAAATGCAAATTCCATGGCTTAAAATTGTTCTACTATATCAGTGACTGATGCTAGCTAGACTCTTTCTTGAGAAAATGAAGGGAACAGATAGAACAGGAGGCATGAGTTTGATAATGATGAAGATGGTAACAACCCAATGAAGAAACTGTCCCTTCTTTACCAGCCTAGAGTAAATGAGGTTTCTTGCTGTTACGGGCTAAATTGTGCTACCTTCAAAATTCATAACACACATCACCTCAAAATGTAGCTGCATTTGAAGTTAAGGCCTTTAAAGTGGAGGAGAACCTAATTCAATAAGACTGTTGTCCTTATGAAGAAGGGTTTAGGACACAGACACAAAGAGGCATGACTTGTGAAGACATAGAAGATGGTCACATATAAGCCACAGAGAAGAAAATAACTCCATCATCTTGGACCTGCAGACCCCAGGACTGTGAGAGATTTCTGTTGTGTAACTGTTGTACCAGTCTTAGAAAATTAATACACCCACTCCCATTGTCCCTAAGATAAAGACTTCCTTTTTGAAAAAGTTGAGGGGAGGATGCTTTCTCTCTCCACTAGACCAAGAAACCTAAGTCAATCCATTATTCCAGCATAATGAAGATATATATATTTATATATATATATATCTTTATATATATTAATTCTAAGGTGACATCACCATTTTCTTATTATTCATCAGTATATACCATCAGATCCTTTATTTAGGGCAATGAAATAGTACATATATTTACTAGCCAGCCAGTTTGGGCATTTACCCTATGGTTGACCTACTGCACACCATCCTGCCAAGTTTTGGAATATAGCTTTATTTCTAATCGAGGGCTTGACATTTTAGGCCTTGATGTGTCATCTCTTCTCACACAACGATGCCATACAAGAATAACTGGGTAAAGAGATATGAAAACTCCCTGATAAATTTAGCTGATATGAACAGAGTAAGAAAAGAATGAAACAAGGTAAGATAAGAGTTCTGGATTCTTAAAGGTCACTCCCACAAGATTATTTAAAGAGCCTTGGAGACTCCAGGTTCTCTTTGAACAACACACAAACAACTTAATTTATACAATCCTCTTGCTAAGCATTAATCTTTTTGATTGTTGCTGGCCACTACCCTAAGTAAATAAGGAAAGTCTAAACAGCAATAGAGAGCAAAGAAAAGAAAGAGCCACAGGAAATGACATTTAATTTTTCTCCCCATGGAAATAAATATTGTCTGGACACAAGTTTCTATTGTAATTATTAAAAAGTAATACAATTCTCTTCTGAAATTTGTTTTTTGGAACTCAATGCCCTAGAATGAATGTAAAAGTATCAAGTAGGTTTGGGGATGATTAAAATACAAACTCAAAGAAAATCAAAACCAAATTGCTAGTTTTAGAGATCTCACCCTCAGAAATGGAAAATCAGAAGAAACAGAAGCCTCACCATTGGAGCCATTTCTTTTATACTGTCTCATTTTAGTTTCAAGTTCCAGGGTTTTTCAGTTTTACTTGATTTACTGAGGTGCCATTTTCTTAACCATAGTTTATACAAGTGAGTTTTTCCTTCAGAATATAAAATTAGAAGCTTTGTTGTAGTCTCAAATGCTTTTTATTATACTCAGTGCTCAGGAATCTTTCCAGTGAAATACAACTGATTTCAAAACAGAAAATTGAATTCCTTTCCCAGATGCTTGCTAGTCTACAAACTGTTGGAGCAATGTGCTTCATTCAGAGAGGCCACTGTCTGTGCTGGCTGCATGCAGATGAGGAGCCAGCTTCCAGGGCCAGGCCTTCTGGGTTGGAACCCAAGCTCTCCTTTTTTACTGGCCTCAGGTCCTCAGGCAAGTGAAGGTAATGAGAAGCCTGTTTCATTATTTTGTTAAGGGAAGTGAATAAGCTAAGACAAGTAAAGAACATCACCAGTATCAAATATATTTTATTTGCCCAATAAGCCTAGCTACCCCTGCCATTAAGTAGCAGAGAAATAGGACTCAACTTGGTGCCCCTCGTCTATCCACATGCCTTGCCTCCTACAACGACCCATTCACACAACCAATGAATCAACCCAGGGTGCCTGAGTGAATCAAAAGGTGGCCTCCTTGGCTGGGTGGCTTCCGTTGCTAGCTGGTCAACCACTGGAGCTAGACAAACGCTTAAGTGCTCAAGGGTGGGGGTGGAATGAGGTTTTGTGGCACAAGTTTTAGTGGTGGTTATGCTTTGAAAATGGAAGTTGTTTACTTAAAAAAAAAAATTTAATCATTTTCTTTGTGTACCTGTAAGACTTAGTAAAAACTTAAAGCTATTTCATAGTAGTTGTGCTTCAAAAGCTGAATATAGAAAGAAGATAGCTAATGTGGAATGTGAGAAAGGAGATGAAAAGTGTGAATAAAGCTAAACACAGAACTTGTCATTATTTTTAGGTCTGAAGTTGAAACATTTTCTCATATTAACTCATAGTAGAAAAAACTCCCTTAAATCTTCCCTTCCCATGAAATTCTATCCATAATGGTGGCTGAAAAAAAGAAAATAGTAATTACTTTTCCCAAAATCATATCCAAGTTGCTGTGTTGGGTATATTTATTTAGTTTTGTGTTGGCAGGGTTTTGCCTAGATACTCCCAGAATTTAGGGCAATAATAGCAATCGTTCAAGGACATAAATTACTCAAGTCAGATTTTTAGTTTCAATTTGCTGTCTTATCAGCATATAAAATAGGTAAAACAGGATACACCTTTCTTGTCCAAGAGAGTAAAGTATAAAAAGTCATGAGAAAATTTCCCTTTATAGAAATTGTACCTTCCAATTGCCCAGAAGAATTTGAAGCCAGAAATTGACAATATAATTTTAAAGGGTTTCAAAATGTCCAAGAGGAATGTGTGCATGTACTGGGTCCTTTTGAAGACATCGGCTGGAAGCACAAGGTGTCAGACGCAGCACTCTGCTTGGTCAGATGGCCAAACACCCTACTTAAGCTGGCTGTTCTTGGTGGGTGAAAAGAGCCAGAACTTGGTCCAGAAGGTGGGAGATGAGCCCACTGTGGTAGTGCAGGCCTGAACTGCAGCACTTGGCAAGGCCAGGCAAGAAGATCTCAAGTGTAAGCTCAGCCTGGACAACTTAGCCACTTAGCAAGACTCTGTTTCGAAATTTTAAAAAATTAAAAAGGCCTCAGGGTGTAGCTTAGTATGAAGACCTTGAGTTAAATCCCCAAAATTGCAACAACAACAACAACAAGTGAGAGATAAAAGGAGGAATAGAGAAATGACAGGAGGGGGAAAGTAGACAGAGGACAAAGAGATAAGCAGCCAGAAGAGAGGGGTCTGAAAAGAAAAGCAGATTTTCTAAGGAAAGATTTAATAAGTTGGTTGACTTACTGAGAACAACCCATACCTCCTCCCTGTGCTTTTTTCTTAGAGCCCTCTAAAAGGAGGCACATCTGAAATGAAGACCTGATCTCTCCATATTTCAAACATTCTTGTACTCCCTGGAGAACAGTTGTTTGGTTTGTGATGTTTATTTCTCTGTTTTTGCTATTTTTCCATGCCATTGGGCTGTGGTTATTTTCATATTTGCATTTTTGTAAATTTGTTCTTATATGCATACTTTTCTTTAAAAATGAAGGAAATTTCATGTCAGTAATTAAATGAATAGTCAGTAATATTTGCCATTAATAAAAGGTGATATCAAAGAAAATCGGCTGGCCATTGTGGCACAACCCTGTAATCCCAGGGCTCAGGAGCCTGAGGCAGGAGGATCGCTGTGAATTCAAGGCCAGCCTGGGCTACATAGTGAGATTCTGTCTCAAAAGAAAGAAAATTAAAACAAATGATGCAGTAAATTCTAATCAGGTGCTGGGGTAGGGGTACCTAGTGTTAGGGAGGCTTTAAAGCTATAAGAACATTAAATTCTACTTACTTCTTAATATAATCCAATGAAATAGAATCAAAATGGAAAAAAATATTCCCACCTTGTAACATTTAATACCATGTCTAAGAATCATTTGAAGTCATTTTTGCTTATATCTCTTAAAATTTTGACATATTCCACATTTTAGACAGCTCTAAGACTGTGAACAGTTCATTCCCTAGAAAGGGTCATATTCTCTCTATATATTAAGACTCTTTTTCCTTAGACTGACCACCAACATACCCAGAATTTAGTAAACCTGGGCCCTCCTCCAAGAAATTAGTCACCCTTGATGATACTAAGAGTTTATGAGGCAAGGACCAACACCAAAGCTGGCAGAGGACCAGATCCCAGAAAAGTATTGCCAAGAAATCACTGGGTTCTGGAGGACATTAACCTTGTGCTGTCGAATATGGCAGCCCCAGGACTCATGTGACCACTGGGCCCTGGAACATGGATACCAAAATGCCCAGTGAAAACTACACACCAGATTTTTGAAGGCAGCATGAATATTTTTTAATCTCTCATTAATTTTATACTGATTATATGTTGAAATAATACCTCGGATATATTAAGTACACTATATTATTAAAATTCAATTCTCTTGTTTCTTTTTAATTTTTACATTATTTTATTTTGAGTGAACTTTAAGGCTTACAGAAAAGGTACACAATTACTCCCTCCGGAGTTTGCCTTCAAGTTAATATTTTTCATACCCATAACACAATAATCAAGACTAAGAAATCAACATTGATATGATACAATAACTAAACTACAAACTATACTCAAATTTCACCAATTTTTCCATTGATGTGTTCTTTCTCCCCTAAATCCAACATAAGATTCCAAAGTGTCTTCAGTTCTCATGTCTCTTTGGTCTCCACCAACATGTAACAGTTCCTCAGTCTTTCATTGTCGTGGCCTTGAAATGTTTGAGGAGTCTTAATTTGTTATTTTGTGCAATATCTCCCAATTTAGGTTTGTCTCATATTTTCTCATGTTAGGAATCAGTTATGCCTCGTGGCAAGAGGTTGAAACCCACAAATTCAACTCCCTATTTTCCATTACACACAATAGTCTCCAGTGGCTCAACTACATAAGTACATATTGTCAATGTTCACTAATTTTTAAAAAAAGCAGTGCTCTGATGTAAGGATTCTATTCATCAACAGCAGTTCAGCCTACCTGTTTTTCTAAGCAAATTGTGATAATGACCCTGATGTGCCTTTTTAGGCATCAAAAGAGGGAAATTTGGTACAAAGTACAAAATTGGTTAGTTTCCAGTTATAGGAAGCCTTTTCATCCATATAAGGAATATGAAGTAACTCAGCTTTCCAGGATAGCTGATGAAGAAAGCAGAGCACTTGACCTATTTGTAATTAGCTGGGCTGATCCCTTTTGTGACTAGTACAAATCCTTGGCCTCTCTAGCAGAGGAGCTAATATCTAAACAGAACAGCTTGTGGTTCAATACAGAATTCTGTTCAGCAATGCTCACTCCACGGCAGTTTACCAGGAGCTCACTGGGCCAGCACATTTTTTTACCTACTGACCACCCCAAGGGCACTGGGATAGGGCTCATTTCAACCAGTCAATTCTTGTATTGAATAAATTTGATAAAATTGTCATTTTTATACATCCTGTTATATTATCTTATTAAAAATAATGAAAAGTACACAATTTTTGGTCATCCTGTGTTTAAATAATTGGACTGGTAAAGTGGTTGATGAAAGAGCAGAAGTGGTCACCATGTCCTGGAGTTGTCCCACTTAAGTGGAGACCAACAGAAGTGTAACCCAAGTAGAACATTCCAATGACTCCTGCTACCCAGGTGCAAAAATGCAGTTTTTATTTGTTCACCTGGATTGCCTCAAAAACTGAATGAAAAGTAATGAGAAAAATCTAAATTAGTTCTGTGTAACTAAACAAAGTGGGAACAAAATAGCTCATATTATTATGCATTTTTAAATTATTTATATTTTTTAAATTATAATGCTCTGCAGAATTATGTCATAAATTATACATTAATTATATAAATTATAAATGATATGCTCTGCAATCCCAAGATTTTTCCCATCTCTGCAGTCCCAAAATCTTTCCCTCTATAGTTCCCAAACAGAACCACTAGAGGGCACTGCTGAATCATGCTTAATACCCAAAGCCCATGGCTGTGCTAACGCTTTTGTTCCTTTGTGGGGATGGGGAGAGGATAAACTGACTTCATAGGCGTGCGGGTAATATGAGGAGCAAGAAATTTTTATATTCTTTTTAACAACTTTTGGCACAGGCCCAGAGAGCAATCGTAGTGAGTTCCTATTTTTTTCCAACAGAAGCAAGAATATCAGCAAAAAGAGATGGACAAACTATCTGATATGATACCAGTCGCTTGGCTTTTTTTTTTTTTTTTTTTTTTTTTTTTGATACCAGGGATCGAACTCGGGCCTTTGCGCTAGCGGGGCAGGCGGCAGCACCACTGAGCTTAATCCCCAACCCATCCTTGGTGGCTTTCTTAAGACAGTTTTGGTTTGCATTGAAAGAGATGATTGCCTCAAAAACTGCATATTTTGTCATTGTTTTGCCCTGGGGGAAGTGGCAGAGCATTCATGCCAAGATTGGAGGAGGAAACTGAGTTGTCTTTGGGGGATTGCAAAATCCTGGCAAGGGCCGGAAAGCCAACTGACAGTGAGCTCCATCTCCTCATCTCAGTCGCATCCCCGCATCCCCTAGCTGGAGTCACATTTCTCAGTCATCCTGCCCAGCATGCCTGACCAGCAGTAAATCTGTGCCTACAAAGCAAGATGACTAAGTAAAATACATACTCACACACATAGGAAAGAAACAAAACAAGGCAGAATGGACAGCTGAGATCCAAGAAGGACCCTGGGGCCTCTGGGATTTGTCAGGACCACCCGAAGATGGATGTAGGAATGCCCCAATTCATGCAAACCTATATGCTGAAAATTCATTGGTAAGACAGTGTTTGGTATCAAAATAACTCATAAAGGATGATTAGAGCATAACATAAGCAAGGGAAACTGGGCTGAACTGACCACTTACTACACACCATCTCCATTCATGAGTTACCTTATTTGTTCTCCAATCACTGCTTAGAAGTGGATATTCCCCATTTCTCAGATCAACTTTGGGTTCTAGAAGGCTTATAAGAACTTACTCAGAGTCCAATAGACAGCAAATGGCAGAACTAGGCCAAAGAACCTCAAAGCTCATGCCCTCACGCTTCTCTGGCTTGTGCCTATTGAGGTCCTTCTGTGTATCAGACACTGTTCCAAGAGTATCACATCCATCATCTCATTTATACCTGAAAAGGTGTGATGGGTGGGTACTGCTGTTATTCTCACTTTAAAGATGTGGCCACTGAAGCACAGATACATTAAACAACCCCTCCAAAGTAACATAGCCATAAAGTGACAGAGCACAGATTCAAATCAGGTCATTGGTTCCCAGAAATGTTGCTCTGAACCAAACATAATCCAGGGTACCCAAGGTCCCTCAGTAGGTACTCAGGCATTGGATGAATTACAAATCCTTGGGCCAAAGGCCATAACCAAAAGGGAAAGGGAAGAACTTGCTTTCCTTGTATGGGGCATAAGATTGGGTAACACTTGCTTAGAAGTTACTATTTACCAGGCTCTATGTTTACAGCTCTATATGTATATGAAGTCATTTTGTTCTCACAATAGTCCTGGGAGAAAGCGGCAGCTGTCCTCATGTTTTGGTGGGAAAACTTGTGCCAGAAAGGTTACTTAACCTGCCCGGGAACACACAATTTATAAAAAGCAGGGTCAGGACTAAAATGTACCATTTGTGATTCCGTAAAGTACTGTTAGATGAGAAAGGCAAAATATGTATGCTGTGCAAAATGTACAAAAATGTACATATGTAGGAAACTACATTATTATGGAGAAAAATTAAAAAATGATACCTCTCAGTGTTAATCCAGGTTATGGAGAAAAGTGTGGTATGGCGGTAAAAAGCTATTCATCACACATTTATGCAATGAAAATTATGCATGTTTATATGTACATATAAAAAGTTATGAGGGCCAGGGATTTAGCTCAGTGGTTCTGCTGCCTGTCTCGCAACTGCAAGGTCCCATGTTCAATCCCTGGTACCAGAAAAAAAAAAGAAGCTATACCATTTTTCATTGCAACCAGAAATAAATGAGAGTTCCTCTTGCACCACATCCTCACCAGCATTTGGTGGTGTCAGTGCTTTGGATTTGAACATTTTAATAGATGCTACAGAGTGGTGTCTCATTGTTGACTTAATTTGTAATTCCTTAATGACGTATTGCCCAATATTGGATGGATTTCTCATTTTCTTACTGTTGAATTTTGAAAGTTATTTGTACATTATAACATCCTTTATCAGATTTCTTGCAAATATTTTCTGCCAGTGACATGCATTTACTATATCTGTGGCTTATTTTATTCTCTTGACTGTCTTTTAGTTAGCAAAAGCTTTTAATTTTAGTAACATCTAGTTTATTGATTATTGCCTCATAGACCATGCCTTTGATAATGTATCTAAAATATCATCACCATATCCAAAGTTATCTAGATTTTCTCTTATGTTGACTTTTAGGGTTTTGCATTTTACATTTAGGTTTATTATCTGCTTAAAATAAATTTTAAGGTCTGTGTTTAGATTTGAGGAGGGGTATGCATGAATGTCCAGTTGTTCTAACACTATTTGTTGAAAAGACTACCTTTACCATGATATTGCCTTACTTTTTTGTCAAAAATTAGTTAAACACATCTTGGCTCTCTATTTGTTTTATTGATCTAGTTGTCAATTATTTCACTAATACCACATTGTCTTATTTACCTTTATAATAAGTCCAGTAGGTAATGTTAGTCCTCCAAATTTGTTCTTCTCCAAAAATATTGAGTTGGTTGTTTGGGATCTCTGCCTCCCTATATAAGCTTTAGAATCAGCTTATCAACATTCACAAGACAATTTTCTTGAGATTGTGTTGAATCTATAGATCAAGGTGGGAGGAATGACATCTCAGTTACATTAAGCCTTTCTATCCATGAACATAGAATATCCATTTATTTCTTCTTTTATATCTTACATCTGTGTTTTGTAGTTTTCTCCATATAGAACTTATTGCATAGATTTATACCTAAGTTTTTTCATCTGGGAGGATACTTATATATATAGTAATACGTTTTTAATTTCACATTCCACTTATTAATTGCTGGTATATAGGAAACCACTTGGCTTTTGTACATTAAACTTGTATCCTGCAAACTTGCTAATTAATTCTTGAAGTTTTCTTGCTGATTCTTTCAGATTTTCTACATAGACAATCATGTCATCTGTGAATAGTGTAGTGGGTTTTCTGTGATATACAACATCCTCTAGGGTCCCCCATACAAGAGTAATACTATCTGCTGAAAAAACATCATACTATTTTATTATAGACAGCTAAGTTAGGTAGAAATATTACTGGCAGTCAGATAAGGCCAGGCCCTCAAGAGAGTCAATGGAAAAGATAAAAACAGTTTACAACTGCGGCTGGACCTTCATCTGTTTAAGGCCAGGCCTCAAGATAAAGATGAAATAACCAGGCCTACATACTTTCCTAAGGAAGAAGATAAATAGTAACACCTGGCCCAATAACTAGACATCAGTCACTCCAGGAGATGACCAAGACCTCCAGATCCATCCTTTCCTAAAAAAAGTTCTTAGTTCTTTCCATGTACACTTGCTACGTGACTTGCTTCCCCATTGGATCAATATTACCTAAGGGGCTATACTTATAATCTCACTGGTTGATTATAATTTTGTCTCACATTGTACCCACCTCCTGACTGTGCTCTATAAAACCTCCCCTGTGAAGTGAGGTCTCCAGCAACCCATTCAGATCCACTCTTGTCTCTCTCAGGAGCTATATATTTCCCCCTCAATAAATATTTCCTACTCTAAACCTCTGCTGTTCCTTAGAATTCATTCTTCAATTTTGGGGAAAGCAAACTCGGGGTATCTGATATTTACCAGATTGGGAGTTATATTATTTCACCTATATCATTTGGAGGTCCTATATAAATTCTTCTTTTCTTGAACTGTATACATTTTTTAGTACATTCTGTATATATATATACACATAGATATATATATATTTATATATATCAACATATATATTTATATATATATCTATATCTATATATCAATATATAGATATAGATATAGATATAGATATATCCACAATAGTGAAGGCTCTGATAAAACTCCAGTAAGTTAGGTTCTGGTAAAATAGTTTCTCCTTGTTAAGAATAACAGAATGCTCTGGGATATTTCAAAATGGTTTATTTTCCTTAACCTTGCTGAAAGTCTCCACTATAGTGGCACTGTAGGTAGAGAAAAGATAATATAAAGACCTCATTGAGCTTTATTAAGATCAATAGAAAAACTTACTAAAAATAATTTCTGCCTCCACCACCAAAAACAGTTTCTGCCCTCACAGGTAGACTCTGCAGTAAGGACAATTAGAAAGACCAAGGAAGGAAAAGCTAGCTAGACTTGGGAGAGGAACCAAGCAACACAATTACCAAGAAAGCCAGCTCCCCTCACCCACCTGACAAAATGCAAGGGCAATAAGAGACAGCCACTTAAGGACTTTTACTTAATATGTAAGACACACACATATGCACACACACATCTATGCATATATGTATGTATGTTCTCACTTTAACATCAGTATAATAGTGCACCAAATACGCACATGTACACATGTCCCATTTACTTAAATCATTAAGTAAGCTGCCTTCCTAATAAGCCCTCCTCCTTCATTTATTCATTAAAAAGGGAAGGAAAGAAACCAAATGGCCAGAAGGTCTAGATTAGGATCAAAGACAGTCAAAGGAACACATCAGATATCTACAAGCACCCACCTAGAGGATGGGAAAGACACTAGTCCCCCCAAAAAAGAGCCAGGGATAAGAGCTCACAGGCTTTCAGCTCTGAAGCACCCTACCACCTCACCGTACCTGTCTATCCTCTTTCTTTTCCATCTTTTTTCCCATATAAGCTTTTTTGTTATGCTAAACTTTGTCCTTTTTTTTTTTTTGGTGCTTTGTTGGCACCAGGTTTAGGATCGTGGGGAGCTGTATTCTCAGCAAAGCAATGACTGTGGCATTATCATAGTTAGCTAAGTTAGTTATAAATATTACAGGCAGTTAGACAGGGCTGGGCCCTCAGACAATTGAGTCTGGAAGCACAAGGTCAGGCTTCAGGAAAAAAGAGGAACAACTACACTCACATACTTCCCCTAGGGATAAGCAGCAGTGACTGATATTCTAAATATGCATCAATCACCTTGGGTGGGGATAAAACCTCCCTAGCCTATTCCTTTCCTGAAAATCCTTGTTCGTTCCTTGCTACATGACTTTTTTCCCCATTTCATCCCTATTTCATCAATATTATCTAAGTGACTATACTTCTTATAATCCTATTGGATGTCCACAGTTTTGTCCCACCTAATACTGGCATCTGACTTCCATGCTAGTGAAGATATGCTTTCAAAGTTTCAAAGGAAAATTATTTTCAACTTACATAGCCTGAGCCAAGTAATGGGTCAAAATAAGGAAATTTTCAAAGTTGCAAGAGATTATTCTTACCTTCTACACACTCTTTCAAGAATTTGTTCAAGGGATAACTTAAGAAAATAAAGATGTGTTTTAAATTTCTTCAGAAATAAAAGTAAAAGTCTGGACTTTTGGGCTTAAAATTGCTCACCAAAGAGCCGTGCTGACTCATGCTGGGGCCCTGAGGTAGGGAAATGGAATGAGGAAGTTGGATTCCAACACCTGCTCCCAACTCAAGGAGAGAGGCTCCACTTAAAACTGCTTCTTACACTGGATTCTTATGAAAGGTTTCACTTGCAGAAAGAATTCTGTGGAGGTGGGAAGAGTATATGGGGTTGGGGAGATGATAGTAGGAAGAGGAGGAGGTAGGAATGCTCTCTAAAGTCCCTGGGCTCCAGCAGTCCACAAGTCTATGAACACAGATGACAAAGCATCATGGCAATTTTGTGTTAAAGGCTCATTGTGGTAGGTATATAATACCCATGTTTATTATTTAGAAGTATTTCTATTCATGAATTATTCATATTAATTTTATGAATTTTATTATATTAAATAATACGTACTTAACAGAAAAAAATATCATAAAGTACTGAATTTTTAATTTAAATACAGTATTTATTTTAAAAAGCATCAAAATTTTCAACATTGACTGTTTTTAGTACAAAGCCTAAAAAAGAACAACAGAAATAAATTCCTATGTGAACTACCATGAAAAATATCAATAGAACTCTACAAAAAAGTCTACTTAAATTATCATACCTAAGGCAGTCTTCATACAAAACAACAGCATATTCCATACACACTTATTGCTTACACTGACAGCAAATGTGTTTTGCTTTCTTGGCCTTTCTGTAGGACATTCTTGACATCTCGTTGGTTTTGCTGTTTTGGCAGGAGGTTCATATTATATTATACAATGTGCACTTAACAGGAACATAAAATATCAACAAAATAAAGGATTCTTAATATGTATTGCATGTTTAGAATAAACATCAACATTTTCACATCAGATGTGTACTTGCTTACAAAACCTAAACAATAACTTCAGAAATAAATTCCTATATGAACTACAATGAAAATACCAATAGAACTGTACAACACAAATAATCTTTGCTTCAACTGTCACACACAAGGCAGTCTTCACACATGACAAGTGCATGTCCCATGCACAGGTCTTACTTACACTGACAGCACATATGCTTACTTTCCCTTCTTGTGTGGCAGGCTGTTCTTGTCACCTCTCTTGTCTTCCTGTTTTATCAGGAACTTTTTGCTATATTGTACAATATGCACTTAGCAGGAAAATAAGATATCAATAAAATAAAATAAAATATCAAATATGCAATGAGTGCTTAGAATAGACATCAACATTTTCACATCAGCTGTTTACTTCCTTATATAACCTAAATGATAGCATCAGAAATAAAAACCTATGTGAACTATAATATAAATACAAATAAAAGTCTACCACAGAAATGATCTTTGCTACCACTGTCACACCCAAGGCAGTTTTCACACATGAAAACAGCATTTTCCGTACACAGGTATCATTTACACTGATAGCATGCATGTTTTGTTTTCCTCTCCTTTCTTGTAGGGCACAGTTGACATTGTTCTAGTTTTCTTGTTGTTGCAATAGGTCTTTGTGATGCTGTACCTGCCTGTTCACCTGTCAGCTCACCAGTGTGCTCCCCATTTTTTGTGTGAAGTTCCCTGGGCAGAAACATTTTGTTTTCCCTCTCCTGTAAATGATCTCTTATGAGTTCCAGGGTCGGAGATTTAGGTCAGTGTTTCCACCCCCTTCCTTGAAAGCACAAGGTCCCAAGTTTGAGCCACAGTACAAAAAAAAAAAAAGTCTTATTAGTTCCTGTCCCAATCCTCTAAGAAAATTTCTGTGTGGTATTTCGCACTTGTTATTTTCTTTGTAAACTATCAAACCATTTATGCCACACATCTGTAAGATCAAATAAAACACAACCATTGGCCAATACTTTGTGTTTTGAGTGACATCAGAGTTGCTGCACAGCTCCTGAACATCTACTCTGCCTTTGTAGAAAGTTAGCATCTCAGACTTGCACTTTGTCGAGGTTTCCCTGTCAATATTTCCATCATGGTGCAAAGTTGACATCAGCAGTACCGGTTTGTTTTTCTTTACCATATATGAGGCCAATGTTCTATCTTTTTGAAATTCAAAGATTTTAAAATACAATTTTTTTTTGAAATTGCAACATTTCATTTGGAATTTCTGCTTTGTACCTATGTTAAGTTCCTACACTGGTTAATTTGTGCTCTTTTATCAAATGTAATGTCAATTGGAAACAAGTAAACTAATTGTCAAATGCCACATTCTGATTAATTTGGGAGATGAGAGTAACAAGTCTTTTAACAACAGGATTTGGTTTATTACTATAGGAATAAGGACCTGGTAGTTGAGTTCCAGGATAAATTTCTAAATGAAAGTATAATGTGTTTTTGTATCTATAAGGGCATAAATTTTTATGCCATACTTTGGAGGGTTTTTTGGCATATAATGCCTGAAGCTACAGTGACCATGAAATGCTGCAAGATGTTCATCAAAAGTCATGTATTCAGATGATGTGTAAATTGCTTGGCAATTACCTCCAAATCTTTCAATGACCAGATAATAGCCAGATTATCAGTTCTTTTTCTTTCTTGGTGGGTGATTTTATCATCAAACCTCATGTAATTTTGAAGGAGACCAAATCTCCTCAGTGTCATTGTTATTCTACAAACCTCAAGCCTGAAGTCTTCTACATTCCTGCATTATCATGAGGAAGCTCTGCTAAGTACAGCAGACCTATGAATGCTTTCATTTCAGCTAATGAAGTGTCATAATAAACACATTTTTTAATATGACTATTGGTGCATACAGAACGTTTTACTTGTATTGCAGCATTTGTGTATTTCCCAACATCTTGTAGCATTTTATCTATTACAAACAATTTCTAATATTGAATGGCAGTGCTGGTATTCCATACAATAAGTTTCACCTCTGCAAAGATCCTCACTATACTTTTAGATCTAGTTCTAACATTGGATCATTCCATTTGTTTATGTGTCCATTTTGTGCCATGTCCACTAGTCAAATATGTGCACCCATTGCTGTTTTCTTCATCATCTGAATCAAGGATGTCTGCATTCCCTGTGCAGTTGATTTTTGCTCCATTTCACTGTAACAGCAACTTTGGCTCACATGGCCAATGTCAAAGTCATCATCATCTTCATCATCCATGGAAGAGTCATTTGATGATTCACTTTTGACCTCCTCCAAAACTTGCAAATCTGGTTTTTCATGTGCCATTGTATGAATTGGGCTACTTCTACCAAAAAAATCAAAAGAAAACTTCTTGGAAGAATTATGTGGGTGTATTTTACCCCCTGTGATGCTCTAGGAAACATACACAGAAACTACTATACAGATTTTCACATGGGTAAGAATCCCAGTTTGACACTTTTGCACAGGTGTAAACACCTTGTTGTTCATCCTATCAGTAGGTAAACACAAAGATTCCTTCCTGTATCCCCCCAGGTTCAGATACTGAGACTCACAGCTTACTACTGTTATTTTAAAGTACAAATGTACTGTAGAAAAGTATAGGATGGGTTGTTGTAACCCCATGTTATGCCCTATGGATAATCAAACAGTATTTGTTGAAATCTGCAGTATAGGAGCTTTGCTTCTGCAAACTAAATTATAACACCCTTCAACAGAACTGAAAAGATTTTTCAGAGAGAGGCTATCACTTGTTTCACCTCACTTGAATATTAATTTTTAAAGTTGACCTTTTTTTAGGACAGAAATTCTGAAAATGGTTTTGATGCTATGAACAAAACAGCAGGCTAGGAGTGAGGAAAACAGACTTCTAATGCTAATTATATTACCCTGTGCATGATGGTTAACCTCTGTGTGCCACCACTGCTTTTCTTTTACAAATAAAGATTTTTTTTTTTTTTTTTTGGCAAAGCAGAGTGCTATTCAAGACCAAAGAAAAGAAACTTTGCTGAAATTTCTAAGTCCAATGCTATGAAAATACATATCACTGCAAGCTCTCCTGAAGTTTTACTGGCTTTCTTGAAGAATCTTTGCTACCTTTTATTATTATGAAAAGATAATTATGAAATTGTTGAAGTAAATAACAGATAAGAAGACCCTGTCTCAAAATTTTAAAGGAAATCATTTTTTAAAAGGGGGGGATTTAGCTCAGTGGCGCCATGCCTGCCTCACAAGAACAAGGTCCTTAGTTCAATCCCTGGTACTGGAAATAAATAAATTAATTAAAATTTACATTTAAATTTAAAAAGGGCTGGGAATGCAGCTCAGTAAGAAGGCCCTGGGTTCAATCCCCAGTACTGCAAAAAAATTAAATTTTTTTTAAAGTAGTTAAATTTTTTTTTAAACTGGTGAATACACTTGTTCAAACCCATTGAATGTACAACTATCAAGAATGAATCTTCCTAATATAAACTATGAACTTTGGGAAATAATGTCTCAGTGTAAATTCATCAATTGTAACAGATGCATGTGGATTGTAGGGAAAGTTGAGCATACATGGGAACAGGGAATATATGGGAAATCTGTAATTTCTACTCAATTTTATTGTGAACCTAAAGCTGTTCTTAAAAATAGTTTAAAAATAATTTTAAAGTGTTTGACACATAGAAGGAATACAAATCAAAATATTTTAGATGACATTTTAAATTATAGTGCTGTGAATTTTTGTCACATTTTTATTTACAGAGAACATTTTTTAAGCCCATGGGTCAGTGCTAATTTATAGGTCCTACTTAAGGAACTTGGAAAGTTCAAGAGCACACACAGTCACATAAAAACCTTATGGAAATTTGGGGCAGGTCATCCAAATATTTCATAATCAGATGACCGGAATGACTGTTCAGAAGTTATCAGGCCCAGCCTTGATGTCTAAAACTGTAGTAGACATGAGCTGACCTGGCAAGGATTCCACAGGGACAGAAATTCCATGCTAGATCTCAGTTCTGAGGTTAATTTGCTCTATTTTATGAATTTCTCTTTGTTGCTTAACCAAATTCTCACCCACTTAAAATTGATTCTTTCTATTTTGACCACTAAAATATTTAAGGTTCATGTCCTTCAGGTTACAACTTCGCTCTTGTCGAGGAATGACCTCAAGGCTACAAGCAAAACAATCTTGAATCCTTTGAGCTACTTTCTAGTTCTACCCACTGTAACATTTTTCTAGGATAACAAATAAGAGAATTGAGGAGACAAGCTTGTAAGATAAACTAAGAAAAGATAAAAAGGAAGATGAGAGGAGAAATGAATTTAAATACAGGTAAGAGAAAGTTAGACAGCCTTGAACACGTAGTAAACCCAGTTAATGTAGCTTTCACATGTAGTTTCCAGACTTCATTTTTTTAAATGAATTTTCAAAAATAAATTAATTCATCTTTATCAATTAACCTTTGTTAACTTTAACCTTATCAAGTAATAAATTTAATAAATATATTTTTTAAAACAACAAAGATCCTAGTAAAATTTATCATGACAAATTCATAGAAAGAACATACTTGACATCAAAAAAATAGGACGACTATATTCTCAATGTAAAGACAATTCTTTACATTGAGTTAAAAGTGCATCACGTCAACTATGTTTTTCTCATTTCTCTACAAACAAGTGAAACTTTGTTAAAAGTACACCTCCTCCATGGTCAAACATCAGAAGACCACTAGGCTACTCCATGTGAGCTTGAAATTAAACAGAAAAGACGAAGGCATTACAGGTAGAGGGGGGTTTTACAGTGCTATACAGGAAACATCTGACAGAGTGACAAGAATCTTCTTCATTTGGAACTCTATCAGAAAGTCATTGCTTGTATTAATTACTTTCTTATTGCTAAGGCAAAATACCCAACACCCAAAGTTAAAGGGGGAAAGGTTAGTTTAGCTCACAGTTTGTAGA